AATATGTTTTCATGAGGCTTGATTTATACAGTAATTGTTTATTTTGGCTTCCTGCTCGTCATTGTCAAGACAAGGAAAGCTTTATGAAGCCTCTTTATGTTGCACATGACATGTCATGGAGGCTCCGTCGTTAACGTTTTAAATATTACATATAAAGGACTTTTGGAAAAAAATTGAGATTGTGCCCTTTTTGCATCTTTATGAGGTGTTAAAAAGCGTGAGAGGTTTTTTTTCCCAGGCATGTCAACTCTGGTTTTGCTGAAGGACTTACTCAGCTCACAGTATATAAAATGTTAGCTTTCTATCTTAATTGAAGGCATTGGGTGGGTTGCTGATTCTTTAACAAAGACCTTTTTTTTCACAAGAGTGTTAACTAGTCAAAGTTAAACAGAGGTTAACAAAAAAACAAACAAGGGTTTTAAGCAGTCTGAGGGCGGAGCTACCCACAAACGGGCACAAAAATAACTAAATCGGTTTCAATCCATTCTCTTTCTTATTGTGGTGCAAGTCTATGTGTAGACACACTGATTCTGGAATCTAAGTGTCCTATTTCAGATTAATTTTAGTTGATATTTTATCTACTTAATCCAAATCACAATGGGACACACATTCCGACGTGTCTACACACAGACCTGCACCACAATAGTAGAAGGTAACTGAAATTGATTTAGTTATTATTTGTCTGTATAGAAGGCCCAAGTAAAAATCCCTTCCCTTCTCAATTGCTTAACTTTCTCTCCCAGCTGTTGTGGTGCCATCATTTCACAAGCTCTTCTGTCATCATAGTGTGTCTTAGCTTGTTGGGGGTCTGTGTTTGTATAGGACCTAGCACAATGGGGTCCTGGTCCGGGACTGGAAATGCTAGGTACTATGGTAATGCAAATAATAAACAAAAGGCTAAATTTCTATTGTGAAAATCAAGCAGAAAAAATCCCAACCACTATCAGGCCTTCTTTAGAAATGACAGAGCAGCAATAGAAAGCACAATTCTTTAATTCTTTCCCCCCATGCTTAAAAAACTCAACCCTATGTAACCAAGTCTACCATTATGCTCGCGTAACTCACATTTACATTGTGGCTCTCTGTCCCCTTTTCATGGCTGGACCACATAGTGAGATTTATGAGTCTGCTACTGGCAGTGAGCTAACAGAGATGGGTTTTCTTAGCTCAGGCACTCGAGGCCTGTGGTTTTAGAGTCACAGGTTCTGAGTTGGATCCCCCCTACCAACAACCCACCTGGGGCATCACCATACACTTGCACCCAGGTAACCCTTCAGAGGCATGAAGACCACCTGAGATTAAAATGCCACAATCATGGATTTAAGCAGCCCAGAATAAGGGCCAATGGGGGTTTGACAGACTGGAAGAGGAGAGAGAATATAGAGCTACACTCAATACCAAAAAGTAAAACATTTAAACTGGCTTTGATTTTAATACGATTCACCAGAAATAAACATCCCACAATGCTGCTAATGCATCCCGGGGCTCCAAAAAGCAAGTGTATTGTCCGTGGGAATGGAGCCGATTGCACCTCTATGCAGATATATTTGTAACAAATTCTCCCTACCGCAGAGCTCCCCTAAAAGGCCTTCTCACATACTTCATATTATACATGCCAAACACTTCCCTATAGTAGGTATAATCTATAAACATGTATATGAATTTGACATACCATTGGTTTGCCAAGTAGTGTTGGCTCCATCCGTAGTTAAGAGTTACGAGAAAGTACTTTCATTTAATTAGGGGGGGAAATAACCAGATTCCCTAATCTCCCACATAAACTCATTGTAATGAGAGGTGTATATTACAGGCAGGGAGGGAACATGTTGTGGGAGCCTCTTGTTACAGTGTTGGCAGTACATCACTGGTCTGGATTTACTTAGGATGATGTAGGAGACAATATGATGGTTTAAGATCACAATATATTTGTCCAGCTGTATTTTTATATTGTAGGTTTTTTTTCCTGGTAGCTTTAGAAATACTTATGGGGAGGAGCAACTGTGTCTAAAAGCCCGTAAGTGAAGAAAAGGAGAGGAAGGGATATATGGTATGACAAGGCATCGTCTCTGGAAGTGAGATGGCTGAGCACTTGGAGAGACTTTTGTGACTTTTAGAAGCACTGCGATCCCCTTCTGACAACAAAAATTACTACACAATCCCAAGGGCTTCAGCCCCGGGCGGAGGCCCTGTAACCTGAGCCCCGGGCAGTGAGACTCAGGCTTCGGCTGCAGCCCCAGGCCCCAGCCCCTAGCCCTGGAGACCCCATTAAAACAAGGTCGCGACCCATGTTGGGGTCCTGACCCACAGTTTGAGAACTGCTGCTAACTCTTTCCATTTGTCCACAGAGAACTCTGATGCTAGTGCCGCTGCCAAATAACTGAACTGGGAAAAACATTTTGGTTATTGACATGCAAATGACCTCATCAAACATTTCACCTCACTAAAAAACTCCCGTGCTTACAACTGTCTGAGCAAACACCACTAAATTTGAACTTGAGTAATATTTGCTTGGGCGAGACATACAAGTATGTTAATGATGTTGGGAGAAACTCCGGAATTTTAAAAAGTCTCCCAAACCCTTTTATAGGATTCCTAGAACCATTGTTTAAAAAAATGATTTAGCACTGTATTTTAACACAACTGGAGACAATTACACAACTGCCTAAAGAAACTGAGAAATCCAAATGACAGATTTCTTGGTTTCTCTTCCAAAATAAGTGGCATGAGAACCATCATAGACAGGAGGTTGAAAGAATCATTCTATTCCAAACTCTTGTTTTCATTTCCTTTGCTCATGGCAGCTGTGATTACATTAGCTTCCAGAAAAACTATGCAGTTGGCAACTCAGATTTCTCAAGGATATAGGGCGGTAATTTCATTAACATACAGCATCAATTACATTTTTAAAAAGCCACATGCTCAGTTCCTCCAGTGGAATCTTAGAAATAAGTTTTGCACTCTTAACTTTGAGCAAACCTCTGTAGTTCACCTTTAAATAGTGAAAAGCCACCTGTGTAACAAGTGTTCCTAGATTAATCTCTTTGATGCATGAGATGTAATTGCTGTTGCAAGTTCAAAAATTCTAGCTTCCGGCACTGGCTAGTGTCACTCTGGAAATGGACACTGGTTAGAGGATGTAGGCGGTGACTTCTGCCCATTGTACCAGCAATTAGAATCCACATAGGGACCATCACTTGAAGAAGAAACAGAAAAATCACAAAAACACTCATGCACGCTAGGCTTGTCAACCCTTCTGTCTTTTGCAAACGATTCTTGCTGATTCAATCTTTCCCAAACCCTTTCCAAAACTTTCCAACACATTTTAAAATATTTTGGGGGATGAGAGGTGTTTGCTGCGGTCTTCTGGACCTCATTCCGGGACTAGAGTTGGCTGTTTCACCAATCAGCTGATCCCTTTTCCCCTTCCTTCCATGACAACCCACCAACTTTGAATTTCCACCATCATTCCTACTGACTCCCACACATGACATCATAAATGCCTGCAGGAAAGGAGGAACACCACTATTAAACCCAGATAGTGTAGTGTCCCCCCTTTTGCTGCAGGAGACAGTGGAAGCTGAGAAGACTCTTCAACGGCTGAGTCCTCTATCATGCCTCCTCACTAAAGCAACCAGCAGAAGGGAAAGTAGATCTGGGAGGCTAGGAGAACAGAGATGACATTCTCCCCAAACCTATTCCCCTCTTTGGGGAATCACCCTTGTTCTCTGAGCACCGACAGGTATGCACACCAAACATTGTACACTCATTGAGAAAACTTTATTAGTGGCTTAGCGTGGAGGGTTTTTCCCCCCGTTAAGTTCAAACAGCCAATCTTCTAGTTCTCATTGTAGTTACATGCGTGAAAAATCATGAGTTCATTTGTTCTCAACCTCAGTAAAGAATATAGCGATGTGTGTTTTGTACAAAGTAAGCGTAAATATCCATCCCTTGTTTAACTAACACGTGATCCCTGGACACCTTCTCTAAGCCCACCTGCCCACTCTCACCTCCCCCACTTTCACACAGCCCCTGCACACCTGCTAAACATTACAGGTGAAAATCCTGGCTCCACTGAAGTCAATGGCAAAACTCCCATTGATTTCACACACACACTTGCAACTTTACACTCTCTCTGCCTCCTTGGTGCTGACTTCCCTTTTTCAGGCATCCTTCTTAAATCTACATACTCTATCCACCTCTGCACAATAGCCTCATGACAGTATCCCAACACCTGTTACGTAACATTCCAGAGCATTACACTGACTGATAAACCTCAAGCAAGTTATTATTTAGGCATCTAACAACATGGAAAACAGCCTGTCGTGAACTTTAGTTATGGTCCATTACATTGTTATGCACACATGGGCGCACTCACACAAACAAGTAATTTGGCATACAAAGGTCCCAAGTTCTTTAATACAAAGATCTCTTCTTCACTAAAATTTATTTGATGGCAGACTATGGCTTTTCATTAGTATTTAATAATTCATAGGAGTTTATATTTGGACAGGTGATATCTCTTCTTAAAAGTAGCCATGTATGAGATGTCCAGCTATTTGGCTGGCTTACCATAATGGAGGTTTCAATTGTTTGACAGATTATATATTTGGTCTCATTAAAAAATAAAATTGTACCGTAGCTCCAAGTAACTACTGTTTATGAGATGAAGAGTAAATAATTTTTTAGATACCCTCAAAAATGTCCCTCACTCAGTGCAAAAAAAAAAAAAAATTCTTTTTTTAAAAAAGCGTTTACAAAGTACACTATATTATGCATTAAAAAAATCCCTTTGCATTCCACAATGAATGAGAAAAACACTCCAACACCATAAATACATCTTACAAAACACTCTTGTGCTTCAGCTTAGCCTCGCGACTGTAGCTCTCAGAGCATTAAAGACATATCTTACTCTAAGGAGCTGACCATGAATAAACTTGGGACCCCTTGTGTATGTTACATATTCCAATACCACACTTCAAAGAAGAAAGTTAACTACTGTACCTTGTGACTAGAGTACTGTTTATTTCATAATCTAAACAAACACTGTAATACAGTCTATGCTTTTCTACTTTCCTGCGGACGTTACAATGAGCATCTTTTTCTGAATTAAAACAATCCGCCATCACACAGAACACGTGTGCTCTAACACCAGTAAAGAAGGTAGGAAGAGTCGGAATTTCCATCATTTTCCTGTGGCCTGTATTAGAAAAATATTTTTGTTTTGTTGTAGTTATGGCAGTGTCGCTAAGAATACAAAGACTACAGCATGTTTTTTTCTCCCTGCACAGTTAATGTCCATCACAAGCATGCGGATGGTGATAAATATTAAGTATTTATTAAATGAAATGCATTCTTTTTTTTAAAAAAACAAGACTAAGTGTCTACATGTAAATGCAGTGAAGCAGGTATACGCTTAATTAATCAGAGTTGATTTCAACTGGCACCAAGACAAAGCATATTCTGACAGAGTCTAGTTAGTGTAGTCTAAATAAGACTTTCCTAGTGCTACTTATGAATTCCATTGCAAGGAATCTGCTTTCTAGTTTCAGAAAGTAGAACAAAGGACGAGGGCTATAGCACGGCCAGTTCTGCATACATGGCTGGGGTTGTGCGTGGGTGGGTTTTCTGGAAAAAGAGAGTACTGTAGTCCATTAGTATTTAAGAATGTCTTGTGAGTTTGTTACTTTCCTTGTGCCCAGCCCTCTCTATGTGGTTTTCTAGCCTGTTATTGTTCATCCATCAATAAAAATTCTCTGTGGTTCTTTTTGATCTTTCAGTTCCTTTTTAAACCACAGAATGATCATTACTGTGTACTCCAGCCAAGATGGTGTGATTGAGTGATGAAGCAGAGCGGTCAGAGCCTTCGGTGGGGCCGTTGGCATTCTCGCTGCGCTGACAGCAGAGGATCTGTTTGAAGGTAGCACTCATTTCTTTGTCCCGGTAGGAGTAGATGATGGGGTTCATGGCAGAGTTGAATTCAGCAAGTAGCAGGAAGAATTTTTCATAGGCCAGGACATTACACTGAGGACAGCAAACATCAAGGAGCAACAAGACTAATCCTGGGGTCCAGCAGATTATAAAAGCACCTAGTGAGAAAGAAAAATCAAATATCAATACGCTGATCACATAACAGGCTGTGTAAATGATCTGACCAAAAGCAGCTGTCATAAATATAAAGGGAAGGGGAGCAACCTTTATGTATGCAGTAACATAAAATCCCTCCTGGCCAGAGGTACAGAATCATTTTACCTGTAAGGGGTTAATCAGTTCAATTAATCTAGCTGGCACCTGATCAGAAGGACCAATGGGGAAAGAAGATACTTTCAAATCTGGGGGCGGGGGGAGGTTTTGTTTGTGCTCTCTTTGTTGGTTCCCTCTGGATAGAAAGAGAGGGACACCAAGCAGGTAAACCATCTCTTGAAAAGATACCTTGAAATGATACATCTACAATTACAGAAATTGTAAGTAAAGGCAAGGAAATGCGTTAGATTATCTTTTGTTTTAGCTTGTGAATTTTCCCTATGCTAAGAGGGAGGTTTATTCCTGTTTTTGTAATTTTGAAGTTGAGCCTAGAGGGGAATCCTCTGTGTTTTAAATCTTTTTATCACCCTGTAAAATTACCTTCCATCCTCATTTTACAGAGGTGCTTCTTTTACTTTTTTCTTTATAATAAAGTTCTTCTTTTAAGAACATGATTGATTTTAGTGTCCTAAAAATAAAGGGTCTGCTCTGTACTTTTATTAAAGGCAATTGGCTGGTATATTATACTCAAGCTTCCCCAGGAAAGGGGGTGAAGGGACTTGGGGGGATATTTTGGGGAAATAGGAACTCCAAGTGGTCCTTTTCCTGAATCTTTGTCGAAATCCCGTGGTGGTGGCAGCGATACCGTCCAAAGACAAGGAAAGAATTTGTGCCTTGGAGAAGTTTTTAACCTAAGCTGGCAAAAATAAGCTTAGGGGGTCTTTCATGCGGGTCCCCACATCTGTACCCCAGAGTTCAGAGTGGGGAGGGAACCCTGCCAGCAGCAATGTTTAATTTTATTTTTCTACAATAAATATACTCCCAGCAATTATTTCTTCAGTGACATGATGAGAGGTTTATCTCTTAAAATCTGAAAATAATGTTTTCTGGCAGCACTTCAAACCAGAAGAGGAGCCACCCCTCCCCTTTAAATATTCCCTCCTTGGCAAATATATTTCCATTTAAAGGTGATAATGAGAAGCATTTTTCCACTTTCAGCTAGAGACCTTTGATTAAATCTTACTCCCGGGAGACAATGCTGCAATTTACTTCTCAAGCTAACAGCAACAAAGACAACCCTTCTGTTAGCACTGTGAATGAAGCAGCAGAAAGAGAGAAGCGATGCAGGGAGTAATTCTCAAGGAAAATAATTTGTTTGGGTCCTGCTAATCCATTTCAGGCCCATTATGTAATGCAAAGTAGTAAACATGCCCTCCGTGCACTGAAAGGTAGTCCTTTCAAGGGCTTTATTTCCTTTCTTAGAGCTTTCTTCAGAAGAAATTCAGAAGCTCCTAAGTCTTGAGTAGCATGACTGCCAAAGAATCTTACATTGATTAAAACACTTTTTCTCTCTGCCTCACCCCCACCCCCTTCAACACTTGCAGAACAGAGTGTGGGTAAAGCTCAGCACAAAATTCTGTATTTAAGTGCAGGGATGAAATCAAGTAGCTATTATCTTAATAGGGACAGTGAGTTTAGGTATGGTATTCTCTTACTGAGCACTTCAGAATGCTTCCAATAGATGCACAGAAGAGGAAGCTCTGACATGAAAATATTTGAGAGAGAGAAAATGGGGGGATTTCAATGCTCCTGAGATTTGCTGGATTGACATCAATGGAAAAATAAAGTCCCTAAGTATAGACATATTTAGCACAGACAACGACAATATAAGCTTCCGTATATTGCCCTGTAAATTCTATTCTGTTTAGGTTCTTATACTGCAGCCATCACTATGGTATCTGTTTGTGTACCCGCATTGTGACTGGAGGGGTCAACTCAAAGGGGGAAATAGTTTACTATGCATAGCCCATTCATCCCACAGCCTCTTTGCTGTGTCTGCCAAGAAGGTGTCAGTTATTCCCAGCTAGGGCAAATGGTGGTTTTGTGCAATTTGGACCCCTTTCCATTGGGAAACAGGCCATCAAACTCATTTCACACAGGCCACTGTACAGCCCTAGACCTTGCTCCAACAGACTGAAGGCCCCAGAACACTTATACAAAGACTCAGGGTTGCACTGTTCTCTTGTCACCTACATTTATAGACATGCTTGTGTGCTGGGTGCCTCTGGGTGAAGTTTCAATTATCTTTTTTTCAAAATGGTTGAGTAAATAAATGCCATGCGTTGACTGCACTATCCCCAGACCAATCCAAAGCAACACCATCATTTAAAGGAACTTTCAGACACCATTCCTCAGCAGGCACCTCCCATTCACTGAAAGACTGAAGCAAAGGCAACTTTCATACAGCCTTCAGCGGGGGAGGTTTAGGTTGGATATTAGGAAAAACTTTTTCACTAGGAGGGTGGTGAAGCACTGGAATGGGTTACCTAGGGAGGTGGCGGAATCTCCTTCCTTAGAGGTTTTTAAGGTCAGGCTTGACAAAGCCCTGGCTGATTTAGTTGGGGATTGGTCCTGCTTTGAGTAGGGGGTTGGACTAGATGACCTCCTGAGGTCCCTTCCAACCCTGATATTCTATGATTCTATGATTCATAGCCCTAGGAATCACTGATGTCCGGGGTGATATGGAAGGAAAGATTATTGAGAAAGGCGTGGAGCACTGTCGGAATGACTTGCCCAAGTCTGACACATGGAGCGAGGACTGTATAAGGAAGAAGGTCAGAATGGATACTCAAAGAGCAGGGGTGAAAGGGCACTGCGTCCACTAAGAGGATTTTAGTGGTTTTTTTTTTTTCTTTTTTTCAGGGAATGAGTTCTTTGCAAATATTGTGGATAAACTGTACATCATAACAAAGTAGCCATGAGACCTTATTTCTGCAACTGTTGTAGCTCTTACATGATGCATCTTGTCTAGGATTCAAATGAAATATCTTTGTGGCAGAGACTGTGTCGCTCCATGTTTCGAAAATACCTACCACATTTAGGGGGCTATCACAACAAACAAAAATCATCATAATCATAAATCTGTCTTCTTAAAAGACAGGAAACAAAGTGTAGGAATAAATGGTCCGTTTTCAGCATGGTAAATAGTGGTGTCCCCTAGGGGTCTGTACTGGGCCCAGTCCTATTCAACATATTCATAAATGATCTGGAAAAAGGGGTAAACAGTGAGGTGGCAAAATTTGCAGATGATACAAAATTACTCAAGATAGTTAAGTCCCAGGCAGACTGCAAAGAGCTACAAAAGGATCTCTCAAGACTAGGTGATTGTGCAACAAAATGGCAGATGAAATTCAAGGTTGATAAGTGTAAAGTAATGCACACTGGAAAACATAATCCCAACTATACATATAAAATGATGGGGTCTAAATTAGCTGTTACCACTCAAGAAAGAGATCTTGGAGTCATTGTGGATAGTTCTCTGAAAACATCCACTCAATGTGAAGCAGCAGTCAAAAAAGCAAACAGAATGTTGGGAATCATTAAGAAAGGGATAGATAAGAAGACAGATAATATCATATTGCCTCTATCTAAATCCATGGTACGCCCACATCTTGAATACTGTGTGCAGATGTGGTCACCCCATCTCAAAAAAGATCTATTGGAATTGGAAAAGGATCAGAAAAGGGCAACAAAAATGATTAGTATTGAATGGCTGCCATATGAGGAGAGATTCATAAGACTGGGACTTTTCAGCTTGGAAAAGAGATGACTAAGTGAGGGATATGATAGAGGTCTATAAAATCATGACTGGTGTGGAGAAAGTAAATAAGGAAGTGTTATTTACTCCTTCTCATAACACAAGAACTAGGGGTCACCAAATGAAATTAATAGGCAACAAACAAAAGGAAGTATTTTTTCACACAACGCAGAGTCAACCTGTGGAACTCCTTGCCAGAGGATGTTGTGAAGGCCAAGACTATAACAGGGTTCAAAAAAGAACTAGATAAATTCACGGAGGATAGGTTCATCAATGGCTATTAGCAGAAGCTGGGAATGGGTGACAGAGGATGGATCAGTTGGTGATTACCTGTTCTGTTCATTCCTTCTGGGGCACTTATCATTGGCCACTGTTAGAAGACAGGATACTGGGCTACACAGACCTTTGGTCTGACCCAGTATGTCCGTTCTCATGTAAGTTCTACTATCTGTGTTGTATGTTCCAAATTTGGAATGGCTTGTGTAAATATCACATAACTGATTTACAAACAGTGAACAATAATGCACAACAGATGTACGGTACTAAGCATTTAACTGTGATAGAAATTATTTTTTTTTGAAAGGCATGTCTCGTGAGAATAAAACCTTTGATCAGATAGCATACAACATTATTAGCTACTTGGACTCAGAGGGAATGTAGTCTCCTACTGTTAATGTTTGGAATATCAACAAGAAAAAATGTTTAATATATGTAAGAGTAAGATTATGTCATGGAGGTCAGGGAGTCCATAACTTTCAGAGACCTCTGTGACATTTTCTACTTCAGCCCCAGGTTAGGCTCTCATTCCCTCTCTCTGGCTTCAGTTGTCCCCCCGTCAATTCTTCCCCCCCCCCCTATTAATTTTTAGTAAAAGTCACAGACAGGTTGCGGGCTTCCGTGAATTTTTGTTTACTTCCCGCAACCTGTCCATTACTTTTACTAAAAATATCTGTGACAAAATCTTAACGCTAATTATGAGAAGATACTGCAGGAGGAAAGTATAGAACATAAAGGACTATCCTGAAACAAAGTGACGTTTATTTAGGTCTCTGCTTGCATGCAAGTTGTATAGTAGTCACAGACACACTTTACATCAACCAGTCAGAATCTGTCAGTTTGGTCAATCATTGACGAGAGTCTATTTTTCCTCTACCCATATATGTTGTCTTCAACCAATGGCTTTGCTTACACAAACAACACGAGAGCCAATGTAAGAACAAAAGGCCCTCTTCTGAAGAAAGAGACGTC